AGGGACAAAGCCACATGTGCGAAAGGCAGAACCCCACCCAGTGGGGCTAAAAATTAGAAGGTATGTTGGCCATGGGGTTGCCTTGATTTATTTTTGTCATGATAAACCTGCATCTCTTGAGACATCATAGTGTATTTATTAGTTACATTCAGATACTGAAAGGATTTGTTTTTTAAACTACTACTGTTAACATGCCCCAGTCAGTATAGCTATGCTGGCTGAAGAATTCTGGGAATTCCAGTCCAAAAAATTAAACTTTTCAATCTCTGGAAATTTGCCACATCATGACGAGCAAATACTTTCATATGCCAAGTCATTGTGTTGACCATCATTTGTTGTTTCAGCCAATTATTAGATTGAAAGCAACTAAAGAAAACCACATCTTGTCTGTCTTATTTCTGAATTGTTTGTCTCCCAACCTTTTTGTCAGCTCTTCTTCTAGGCTATTTTTTGGGCAGGAAGCCAGGGACAAGCTTCAGGTGCTATTTCAGACATAATGACAAACCATTGTTTAAACAAGCTGGAGTTTGTAAGGCAATAAAAGACCTTAAGTTTGTGGCTGATAAGAAACTAGCTTGTTAGCAGAGGCAGGTTCACACCTGCAAACCAGATTTCAAGCAACTTGGTAATGGTAATTTGATCTGATCTTTGTGAACTGTACATTTATGAAAACTGATTTTTTTCTCTCTTTCTAAGAAACATGGACAGTGAAAGATTTTCTGTTTCCCAAAAATTTCTTTTAGTATCACCAATTCTGTCTCTTTGGCAGATAGAAAGTTCGGAAGAGCCCAGATGTCCAGTTGTTAGATGTCATGAAATAAATCTACACTACTGCTCTCTACCACTTTGATACTAATTTAACAGCCAGGGAACTATGCTATGGATTCCTGGCAAGATTCCCTCTAAGCTGGGTGTGCGCAGCTCCATCTTCCTCTGCATAGCTCTCTTCCTCCTCCATTCAACCCCTTTGGTTTCAGTCATGATGGAACCCAGCACACGGGGGTGAGGATGGAGTTGTGTGTTCACATGGGGTGAAGTCCCACGCAAGAGAGACGAAGTGGGAAGGGCTGAAAATTACAGTGATTTCTGGATTTCTAGCTTGTTAGAAGCATTGTTCTTCTGTCAAGTAAGGCAACCTGATGCATTTGAGATGTTTTGCATATGGTTTAAATAAATAATAGAATGTTCAGCTATAGTTACGTGTCTCAACAAACTACAAATCCGAGGATTTCATAAGATAGAACCTTGACAGCTAAAGTGCTATCAAACTGACAAAAGTGTGTTCCACAGATATTTTTATAGTTAATGGCACTGGTTTTCTGAGCTTCCAGAGGTTTATTTGTTTTCATAACCAAGCAACAGCACCGGGAAAGTAAGCCTACACCACTGCTATGCCACTTTGATACTACTGTACTTTAATAGCCAAGAATTCTTAGGTGTACTTTGAACCCAATGCTTGATTCTGATAGGCCATCAGATGTCTTTGAGCATGACTGGTGTGCATAGTTTTTTTTTGGGGGGGGGGATTTACAAGTGGTATGGCCAGTCTGATTAATACTAGTCAGATTAACAATGTGCAGACCTTGCTTTTTCCAGCCTTATATTTCTGAAACCCAACCTTGAAAAGCTGGATTTCTTTGATCTGATGTGGATTGTGGGAATCACTGACTTTGTACTCAAATATCTCACCATTGCTTTGAAGTGCCTTGTGGTTGCTCTACCGAAAATCATCCTTGCTGTTAAATCAAAGGTAAGAAAATATCAAATTTACATCCCTCCCTTTTTGCTAATGAGTGAATTTTATTTTTATTTTTCCTCCATAATGTGTACAGAAATGAATGAAAGGAAAAGAACACGGATAGTGCTTTGAATAAGGCTGGACCTCTGTCCTTTGGATAAGCTTATTTTTAATGGTGACAGCAACTATCTGTCATGGGGTGGGCGTGGCGATGAGAGAGATGTGCTCTTGTCTGTTTCTGATGTTGTCCTGTAAGCATTGTTCTCCTTTGTGGCCTCTGTGAATCATACCCAGAGTGATCCGTGCCTGCACGGAGCCTCATTGGAAAGTTCTAGAGGTTCTGCGGTAGCAAAAAAACATATTAGAATAAGGCCCCTCCCCCTTCGTATAAGTACCTTGGTGCCAAGGCTCCCCTTTCAGTTTCTTTCAACCGCCACATTGAGAGCCTCATAGTTCTGCTTCTTTGAGTAAAAGAGAAAGAGAGGTTATTCTTGATACCTTCCTGTTATCAATCTTTTTCATTAAAACTTTTGGATCAAATTCATTATCATCAGAGATTCTTTTTTCTTTTCTACTTCAGTTGGCCTCTGGCCGCAGCACAAACCCCCAATCATCGTTTTTTCTCCCCAAAACGTGTCTTTTCTGCTTGGGAGAGGCACACCAGATGTCCTCCTACCCACATTGTAAGAACTTCAAGCGCGGAGTCCTCCGTTCTTATCCAGATTAAAACTCTGTCTTTGGGAACAATCCCTTCAACAAACCAAAATGGCCCAACTGCCTTGTAAAGCCACCTCTCAAACTAAAGCAATGGAGAAGGCTCTTTCTGAAGCCTCAAAAAAAAGTCCATCGACCACGCCATCCCACTCCGATGTTCCGTCCACTTCGTCTAAAACTTCAAAAACCCATAAATCAAAGCGCTCAATACTGAAATCCTCAATATCGAAGCTTTCACTAAACGTCAAATGTCCACCGAAGCCTCTTCGGTTCTAGAGCCTTCTGCACCTAAAAGATCTAAACAGCATAAATCTAAAGCTGTAGTTATTTCTCAGCAGCCTCAAAAAATGCCAAAACAATCTCTATTGGTTTGCCTTCTGATGATAACGGAAGCCCCTCTCATCCTCAACACTATTCTTTCAAGCAACCCTTCCATAGTTGTTTCACCTGACAGGGTCGACTCCAAACAACAACTAGAGACCATACCTTATTCAGTAACATCTGATCGTCCACTACAACCTCCTCAGAGACATGGGCCCCAACAGTCCCTGGAGTCGTCTATTTCATCACGCTTGGCTCAGACCTGCCGTGTTCAGCACTCTCACCGGGTTGCCATTTGCCCCGACCAATGCTCAACCGGACAAACCACAACCGCCAATCAGCCAGTTGCTCTATCCAGCTCAGCCATACCTTCTCATGGTGGGCCTTGATCTCAACAGCCATCGGTGTTGAAACGGCCATATCACCGTGACCCACATCAACTCCAACCTGCTCCCTACCTGTCACCTAAAAGACCCAGGACGGTTGAGCAATTTTCTTCTACACGCAAGGCTTTTACAGCTCCAGCATCCTGATATTTTCCTGCTAATCCAGACAAGGGAAATCATTCCTCTCGCTCGGCATCTCCAGCCTCTATATATTCCACTGCTTTACCAGCACATCAACAACCTCCTTTTCAACATCACCAAGATACAGGCTCTGATATCAATGATCTTCTATATCCATCCTGGTCCATGGACACTCATTCTGTCCCTCTATCAATGGACGATTTCCGTCGCCCAATAGAACCAACCCATCGAACTCGATATCACTACGAACCCGAGTTCAACACCGACGTTCAACCATATTAAATGACGTCCACGGACACTCGGATGACATCTCTTGATATCGAAAATCCTTGACACCGACAAACGTCCATGGACATGCCGCCTCCATCAACATTGAGCCACAAACGTCAATACTATGACACTCAACCTATTGACACTGAAGTCGATCAACAATCCATCTACTCCCAACACAATCCCGATTATACTACTACCAGACAAGTACGAGTGTTTTCTAATAACAAGCCTTGGCTAAATAGAGAAGTGCGCCTTTTATTAAAAGCCAGAAATGCTGCTTTTCATTCTGGTGATGAACTACAGTACAGAGAGGCTAGAGCTAAACTGAAAAGGGGCATTAAGGATGCCAAAGCTATGTACAGCCAGAGAATTGAACAACACCTTGAAAGTTCTGACACTCGCCGAGTGTGGCACGGCCTAAGACAAATCACTGGTCAGAGTAACAAAAACAGTCTGTGTAGCAGCAGTGATTTTTTGGCTGAGCAGTTAAATCAATTTTTCAGCCGTTTTGAGGTGGAAACAGGAACAACCATTATTCCAGCACCTACTGTCTATAATACATCACTAGAATCTACCATCAACAGACAACCACTAGTACTGCAGATTTCAGATGTGAGACGCGCTTTCCAGAATATTAATGTTCGAAAGGCAGCTGGACCAGATGGAATCATGGGACGAGTTATTAGGGGCTGTGCTGCAGAATTAGCTAGAGTTTTTACGGATATTTTCAATCTATCCTTGTTGCAGTGTTCAGTCCCCACTTGCCTGAAGACATCTATTATAGTGCCAGTCCCCAAGCAGTCAGCTGTGGTATCTCTCAATGATTACAGACCAGTAGCTTTAACATCTGTTGTTATGAAATGTTTTGAGAGATTGGTGCTGGATTACATTAAGGCTAGTCTTCCACCTTCTTTGGACCCATGGCAATTTGCATACAGGAAAAATAGATCTACTGATGATGCTGTGTCCATTGTACTCCATACTGTATTGAGCCACTTAGAACATCAGGGAACTTATGCGAGGCTGTTGTTTGTGGATTATAGCTCTGCTTTTAATACCATTCTACCAAATAGGTTGTTTTTTAAAATGATCAACCTGGGATTACCTCAGGAGATATGCATGTGGATAAAGGATTTTCTGACAGATAGGCCACAGTCAGTAAGGATGGGATCTCACCATTCTTCTACCCTGGTACTAAGTACAGGAGCTCCCCAGGGCTGCGTGCTAAGTCCCTTCCTCTATTCCCTGTACACACATGATTGCACCCCACTGTATAACACCAATGCAATTATTAAATTTGCGGATGATACGACAGTGGTGGGGCTCATAAATAAGAACAATGAGTCTGCTTATAGAAAGGAAGTACAAAGGTTGATACTTTGCTGTAAAGAAAATCATCTCACACTTAACATCAAAAAAACTAAAGAACTCATAATTGATTTTAGGAGGAAGAGAAATGTACATTTACCACTGTACATAAACGGTGAGGAAGTGGAGAGAGTTGGTAGTTTTAAATTTCTGGGTACTTACATCTCAGAGGACCTCTCATGGACTACAAATGCCAACATGCTAATGAAGAAGGCACAGAAGAGGCTGTATTTCCTGAGAATGCTCGGCAAGTTAAATTTATCTCAGCATTTGCTTCTGTCATACTATCGTAGCACCATTGAGAGTGTCCTAACCTATGGCATTCTGGCATGGTTTGGGAGTAGCTCTGTAGCGGACAAAAAAGCTCTACAGAGAACCATTAAAATTGCCCAGAATATCATCGGGCTCCAGCTACCAACCCTGGATGACATCTTCACATCCCGCTGTCTAAGGAAATCACATAGCATCCTGAGAGACTCTTCCCATCCTGCTTATAACTTTTTTGAACTGTTACCATCTGGCAGAAGATATAGAACAATTAAGACTCGGACCACACGTTTTCTCAATAGTTTTTATCCCAGAGCTATAATTGCAATTAATAATGAGCTTAAAGACCACCAGTAGTGAATAATTAGTTGGACTGTGTAACTTGGCCTGCGGTGTAGATGTTTGTATTTTTAGTGGGGGACTTTTAGTGGGTGGGGAGTGTTTGGGAATTTTATGTGTGTGCATGTGTCTGGTCTCTGGGTGTCTGTGAATTTCGTTGTATGATATACTGTGTATATACTTACAATGACAATAAATTATTATTATTATTATTATTATCCTTCTGAGGTAATATTATTCCAATCACGGATCCAGACCTCAGACGCCGTCAGTATTACTTACCTCATCGGAATCTGACCTTGTTGATGCCGACCCACCATCACCGGCAGAAGACTTCCAAACTTAGGCCCAATTTATGATCCGTATGGCTAAGTCTCTCAATCTCCAAATCCACCATCCTTCGACAGAACCGGCCGTTCATCTATTTCGTCTCTACTCAGCACTGCTCAACAATCCTGGAGAAAACCAGGCTCTTCCCATACCATGTCTAAACAAATTGATAACCTCTACAGAGCCCATGATCCTGGAGCTCTATTTCTTCAAAAACAACCAGCTCCAAACTCTATTTTTGTCGAAGCCTCACAATGCAGATCTCGACATCGACAAACCCTCATATCACAAAATAAAGACAGTAGAAGGATTGACTCAATGGGAAGATGGCTTTATTCATCAGCAGCATTCACCATGCGTGTCGCTAATTACCAGGGAGCCATGGGTGCATATCAGCATTTCCTTTGTTTTTGTGAAGACAGATAGAAAGCCCTGTGTGAAATCTGCCCACTAGTATTATTCACTCAAATCTCAAATTTGAAGCGAGGGAGAAAGTTTGGGTAGGGAGGTGTAGCTGGACAGGTTTGTTCCTGCACATGAGGTACTCAGAAGACTTATTAATTTGTTGCTGGCGGTAGTCCAAGGATTTTTCTCCCCCTTTTATGCCAGCTATCTTTATTATTTTATTTGAGGAGATTAATGATCCAGGTCACAGCATAATCCAACTGGGAGAGAGGAAAAACAATAACCCAGAACTAAGTGATGCAAATAGTCAGTTCCAGATAAATTGCAGAGTTGGATGAGGTGCACAGCCTTTGCTTTCCTGTTGAACAGCTATCCCAGGTTCTCATTAATCCTTGTCCAAAAGAAGAAAGAGATGATGCCTGAATTTTCCAACAACACCAGGAGGCTGGTACGGATGCATCTGTTCAG